GAGGGTGCGGCCGCCCAGGGAAGGCCGCCGGGACCTCCCAGGCGCATCCCCTCCCCGGGAAGGGACAGTCACAGTTCCCTGAGTGAATCACTTCCACCCCCTTCCCGGAATGCCGCAGGCCACGTGGGGCGCGGGGCTGAGGCCGCGGATCCTGCGGAGCCACGGGCAGAGGCTGGGGGAGCTCTGTGGGACCCAGACAAGGCACGGAGCGCCCGTACTCGCTTGGTTTAGTCTAATGGTCTGCTCTAGCCTGGGATGGGGGGAGGTGGGGGCCACCGTCCTCTTTTTTTTCATGTCGCTGACCCTGGCCTTGAGGCCCGAGAGGGAGCCTGGCATTTCTCCCTTCTTCACGGCCCCTCCCTAACTCCCCTTGGGCAGCTCCAGGTGGTTACCAGCCCCGGGGCCCTGGAAAAGCACGTGTCCTCCTCTGGGCTGGAGGTCATCGTGAGGTCAGACTTATTCTGTAGGCAGGACGCTGGTTCCAGGCTGTTAAGGAACTGCTAAACTCTGAATCCCTTTGTGGGATACCTATACAGATTAAACATGGGCATTTACTAACCCCTGGAAACCACTTCACAGTGAGCCTAGAGCTATCCTTCGGCCTTGTTTCTGCCAAGCCTGGGCCATCTCCTGTACACCTGGCCACTCAAGTGCTCAGGAAAGTGTTAGGTCCCTCACCTGTGAGAAGGGGCTGGACCCTCAAGAATCCTGGGGATGACCGGGCCCGATGGCTCACGCCTCTAATCCCAGCACTTTGGGAGGTGAAGGCAAGAGGATTGTCTGAGCTTAGGGATTCGAGACCAGCCTGAACAACATGGTGAGACCTCGTCTCTACAATAAATTAAAAAATAAAATTTAGCCTGGCATGGTGGCACACGTCTGTGGTTCTAGCTACTTGGAAGGCTGAGGAGGCAGAAGATTCGACTGAGCTCAGCAGGTGGAGGCTGCGGTGGCTGAGAGCATGCCACTGCACTCCAGCCTGGATGACAGAGTGAGACTCTGACTCAAAAAAAACAAAAACAAAGAATCCTGGGGGGAGGAGGGCTTTCACCGTGGCCTGTTCACATGGCAAGTGCCTGCCCTGCTTCTGCTCTGTTGCTAGAGGTGGGGCCTGGTGTGAACTGCAGGTTGGAGCTGTCCAGACCAAGTCCATTCAGAAGCCGTCACTCCCTCCAGAAAACCAGCTTGGGTCTCTCTAAGCTCCCCATTAGCCTGGCAGCCAGCTCCCCTCCAGGGCTCCTCTCTGAGGGTCTGGCAGCCTGTGCAGCCTAGCACAGCCTGGTGGTGTGGACGTGCAGGCCTGCGGGTGTCCTACCTGTCCCCCACATGGGAGCCTCGTCATCTCGCCTTCGTGTCCCAGCCCAGTTTCCCCCACCCCCCTCCAGGACCCGGGAGCTGTTTTCCTGTTTCGTTTTGGGCAGGAAGAGTGAGGTCGTGTTGTTCTTCCCCCTGCTGCCGGCTCAGGCTGTGGGAACGGTTCCCTGAATGCTTTCCTGTTTGATACCCTGTGAGTGCAGGGAGCCATGAGCAAGGCATGGAGCGTGTGCAGGCTTCTGTGTCTCTAGCCTAAGCACCTGGGTCTGTGGCGGGCATGCCGTGACTGTGTCAGGGAAAGAACAAGGGAGGGCAAGTAGCACTCCACATCCGGGACTCCATCAGGAACAAGTTGTCTGGTGGGTCTGTGTTGCTTTGCTATGGACAAGCTGAGAGCTGGGAGTATCTATTCAGCTTTTTGTCAATGACTCATATTTTCATTTGCACTCCATGGGGTATATTTGCGAGAGAGAGGACTGTGACACCCTAGGGACTATTCTGTGCCCTAGAGGAAGCTAGGCATGAAACTCCTAGCTAGACTGGAAGCTAGACTGGAAACTCCCTCATTAGTGCCGCAGTCAGAGAAACCTGGACTCAGGCAAGGCGACTTACTCCTCCCCTTCCTCCCCCTCCTTGCAGTCTTCAGTAAATCCAGCAGCCCCAGGCATGCAAGATGCCCAGACTCTCAGCTCTCTTGTTCAGCTGCAAGGAGGACAAACCTCCCTGCTGCCATGTCCCCTGAGACTAGTCTGTTCTGCTTGGACTGAGAAAGGAGCCAGATACCCTGCAACAGCAGGAGGAACGTCCCAGCTGTCACCATGGCACAGAGACCCGCATGCTTTGAGAATCCTTTGGAATTAGAGAAAAACAGGCAGAACCAGGAGCCCCGTAAGTTCTTCCAGGCTTGAAGACAGAAAGGAAGGATAGATTCAGGTCAGGAGGAACATCCCCGAAGGAGTGCTAAGACATGAAGAGGGAGGTGGGGAGCTGCACCAGCCTCAAAGTCACCAGGCAAGGGTAGGAGAAGCTGGGCTCCCCAAGGAAGGGAACAAGAGCCTGGGGCACAACATGCCAAACCCAAGTGAGCACACCGGTCCCAGAGGATCCAGTAGGGCGCACGGCAGCAATGTGAGAAGGGGGTCTAAGTTCTTTGGGGTGAGAAGATGGGGAGAGAAATCCCACTTGGCCATCACAAAGACAGGACCCAAGAAGTAATAAACGCCTGTACACATCTGTTCCATATTATAAATACACATTATATACAAAATAATGTTATAAAATGTAGAAAGGTCAGTGCTTCTGATTCTTAAATTATCGAAATACTAGACTCCAAAATAAACTACAAAAAAACAAAATAAAAACTCATATTATTGATTTCTGAAGATCGGCTTCAAGGGTGGCCTGGGGGCAGTACTGGGCATCAGCAGGGCCCAGGCTCAAGTTCGTAGAATGGGTTTGAGGGAGGAAAGGGCCTAGATGGCAGCAGCACCTAATTTCTCCCTCACTGGAGTTTCCAACATAACTGCCCTGAGTTCCCCAGTTAGGCCTGGCGCCCCTGACTGGCGGAAGGGATAGGCTCTTCACCTATCTGCTCCCAGGAGCCCCGAGGCATCCAGGCCCAGTGGGTGCAGAAGCCGGGTGAGGCTCACCAACATTCTTGCCTAGCGTGCCTAGGCCAGCGAGAGAGGCCAGGTGGTGTTCCGAGCCAAGCCCACATGCAGTAGCTGGAGCCATGGGGCAGAAAGTGCCCCTCCCCCTGGAGCACTCACCCACCTGCGGAGGGCCGCACTCAATGGTTTCCCAGCTCACAGGAGGCCCTATCCTTTCTGGCCCCTCTCTCCCTTCTGATTTGGGCCCAGCTGTCATCATGGAGCCTGGGCCAAAGGCACTTTTGGAAACACAGATGCCAGTGAAGGCCACAGCAGCTCCAGGCCCCAGGAGGCCACTGCCACTCTCTCTAGAAAACAGGCCAGAGCCTCAGAAGAAGCCCTCTGAAGGCCACTGCTGGCAGGTCAGGTCTCAGTGGCATCTCTTCTCTCCTCTGTTCCCCTGTCTGGTGCAGCTGCCAATCTGATGCCAGACAGACACCCAAAGGTGTGGAAGGGTATTGCATCTCTTGGCAAGTTCACAGTCTATCCAGTTCATGCCATTCCCTCCTCCTCCTGAGAGCAGCACGTTGCATATTAAAAACGTCCCATCCAGGATGCAATGTAAACAATGCGGAAGGAAGGTCCAGCTGCTGGGCTGAGCCGGGATGTTGTGGATGGGCTCCTGCCTTATACCTGGGGAGCATGTGGAAAGCGGGGATATAGGTTACCCCGGGCACAAGCACTCTCTCCAGGACCTCCCTGGAAGAAGCCTACGGGTGAAGGGAAGGTGGGGCAATGCACCCAGTCTTCTGTCCCAACACACACAAGTGCCTGGGAGGTGGCTCAATGGAAGAAGCCAGTGGGAAGGCGCAGGAGGTGCACAAGGGGAGACGTGCTCCCTCACCCACCAGCGGCTGGCAGGCAGTGTCCAGGAACTGGCCCGGCGCCATGGCCACCCAGCCCAGCACCTACACAGCAGGAAGGGACCAGGCCAGGCTTGCCACCATGGCTCCTGTTTCACACCCTCCCTGGCAACAAGGCCAGCAGGGCCCCAAGAGCCACTGAACCTGGCCTACAAAGGAAGGTTCTGACCCACCCTTCAGGCACGGCCCATGGGGTCCAGGGTGACCAGGCCACTTTCCCACCCACAAAAACCAGGAGGGGCCATGCTGGAAGGGAAGGCAAGCCCAGCACCTACCTCCGTGGCAATGACACATTCGTTCCTCTCCTCTGATATCAAACACACAGACTGGTACATGGAGTCCCTGGGGGAGCATATCGCTGATATCCGACACTCTGGCTTTTCACTGCGGGAACATAAGACAGGCGCGTGAGGGAGATGGGGAGAGGCTCAGGAGGAGGGTGGACCCTGGAGAGCCAAAGGGCACTTGCAGAGGGTTCTGAGAGAAGACACGTGGGCTGGCGGTGCTCAGTGCTGGGCTTGTAGGGAGCAGTTAGGAACAGGCCCCTAGGAGAACCACAGGACTTCCACCTTTACTGGAAGGGTCTTAGTCTTGCAAAAAGCCAGCATTGCCACTTGAGCCAAGCCACAATGTGGAAAGATGAAAGTCGCAAGAGACACACTAGGGACATCTGACATTCGTGAATGGATGAATGAATGGGAGGGAGGGACAAAGAACCCCTGGCAGAAATCTTCTTGGCAGATCCTTCTGTCAGTAGCAAAACCCCTGCTGGCTTAAAAGCCTCCCACCTGGCCTAGGAGGAGCCCAGGCAGAACCATGCAGGAGCCCTGGGCTTCCAGGGGCTGCTCACCTGTGTAACCGCAGTGGCGCCTTCTCCCCTAAGCTCTTGTCACTGTGGGGAAATTTCCCCAGCACGGTCCCCCGCCCCAGGGGCCCTGGGGCCAGATTATAATCCAATGTGTGGTTTTGCTGTTTGCCACAGTTGGACTTGTCTAGGCCGCAGTCCACTTCCAGCTCCTTCTTCTGGTTTGTGTTCTTCAGCTGGGTGGCAGGGATCAGGTTGTCCTTCTGGAAGTCCGACAAGTTGTTCATGGCTTCCCTGCTGCCGTCGTCTGGCCGCCGAAGCCGCAGCTGCCGCACAGCCACCGCCACCATGCCCAGCAACACCAGCAGCACTGCCAGGCCCACGCCCAGGGAGACGGCCACCCAAGGGAAGCTGGACGGCAAGCCCACAGGGAACTCGCAGCGGCTGCCCACAAAGCCGTAGGGGCAGTTGCAGATGACGGTGTCCGGGGAGAGACCAGCATAGCAGGTGGCCCCATTGAAGCAGGGCCCTGAGGTGCAGGCATCGCTGGATGTCCGCACCTCACAGCGCTGGCCAGAGAAGCCGGCAGGGCAGGTACACACGGGCCCGTTCTCCAAGTCGTGGCAAGTGCCGCCATGGGCACAAGGGCTGCGGGTGCAGTCAGTGACGTGGCGTTCGCAGAAGGTGCCTGTGAATCCAGGACGGCAACGGCACATGCGGCTTGGACCTCGGTTTAGGCACTGACCCCCTGTGAAGACATGAGGGATACAGGTCGGCTATAATCTGGGAGTCCCCTGGGGCAGGGGGTGGGTATCCCATCCAGGGAACACACTTGGGTCCTGCTGTCTTCACGCAGAGTGCCCACTACAAAAGAACGGCACAGAGAGGCTGGCGACCTGGAGTCTAGGCTGATTCTCTCTGCCTCAGTGGGCATGTGTATGAAAAGTACTAACATCTTCCAGAGCTTTAGTGTGGAGTCAGACCATATGATATGCTTGGGTTTGAACCTTAGTTGTCTCTCTTGAGCTGGGGATTTGGCACCTGTTGTTTTACCTTATCCCACAGCCTCAGTTTCCTCATTGGTTCAATTGGAGTGGAATGCTCTCTCCTTCCTAGGATAGGTCATGTAGGAAGGTACAGAGAGGCAAGAGCACTTGCTTGGCATATAGTAAATGCTCGAATAAGTGTAATCGTCATCATTTCATTTCATCTTCACAACCATGTGAAAGGTAAAGAACTTTCCCATTCGGTGATGAAGAAACCGTGGCCTCAGGGGGGTTAAATGAGAGAGCAGACCACTCCCCCCAAGCCCTTCCAATCCCTCTCCAGCTCCTAAGTGTCTCTCCTATACAATGCTGTCTGCCTGATTCACAGAGGGTCACCTGGAGGCCAAGTAGACAAGGATTAGCAACACGCTTTGTGTCCCAAGAGGTGCTGAATATTCTAGATGCCTCACGCCACACCACACTCTACATGAGCTCGGGACAAGATGGGGCTCCAGGAGCAGGGCTCTGACTGCATCGCCACCTTCTCTGAGGAGGAACACGAACATCTACTCTCCTAGCCCAGGACTTCCTGGAGGGTCAGAGGCCACCCCAGCCAGGACAGGACTCTGACATGGGAATAGGAACGAAAGTCATGCAGGGTGCACACCAGCCTTGCTCCCAAGGCCTTCGCACAGCTGAGCTGCGCCTCTTCCAAAGCCCTCGGCTGATCAAGCAAGCTCTTCACCCTCCAGAGCAGACAGAGGCCCATCTCAGACTGCCCAGAGTGACAGACAACGCCTCTCTCCTCTCCTGACCCTCCCTCACCAGAAGGCTCTCTCAGCCCCAGGGCCAGTCCACCAGGTTAGCAAGGCAAGAAGACGCACCATTGACACACGGGTTGCTGGTGCACCTATCCACTTTCTTCTCGCAGTTGGAGCCAGTGAAGTTGGGGGGGCATTCACAAGCATAGCTGGCCCCCTGGTTGCGCTCCCGGCAGGAGCCCCCATTGAAGCAGGGGGAGTCGGCACAGCTCAAGGTGCTGTGTTCGCAGTGCAGGCCATAGTAGCCCGGGGGACAGAGGCAGTGATAGCCATCTTCCTGGTCCTGGAGAGAGAGACCATAAAGGAACCAAAGTCAGATGCTGGGGGGCAGACATGCATGGCTGGAAGCTGGGATCCACCTGTCCATAGTGCCTGTCTGTGGTTGCTTATCCACTGGCCGCCTAGGCTGGGGATGCCTGGATCCACCTGCCCAGATCCTTCCTGCGCTGGTCTGGACTCACCTTACAGCTGCCCCCGTTGCGACAGGGGTTGCTGTCACACTCGCTGAGCTTCAGCTCACAGTCCACGCCAGTGTAGCCTGGGCGACAGGTGCAGGTATAGCTTCGTTGCCCGCTGTTGGAGCACGTCGCCCCATTCTTGCACGGGGAGTGGTGGGTGCAGTAGTTAAGATCTGCAGAGACAGAAACCAACTCGCTGAGCAGGGCCAGGGAAAGTTCCCAAATCCAGGCTCCTTGCAGTGCACGTTCCCTATGTTTGGCTCAAACAGGGTTCCACTCAAAGTCTTCCGTGCCCAAGTATGCTTCCTCCCCCATCAATGAAACCATGTTTGTTGAAGCACCTTAAATCACATATGACCAGTGTAGTCAACCGAGATCGAAACAACACAACTGGACGCCGTCCTGCCGGGTTAGCTCACAAACACTGCCAGTCCAAGTGCGATGAAGATAAGGAGGAGAAGGGGAGGGCAAGGCCACATGTCAGGGAAGGAAGTCAGAAAAGGCTTCATGGAGGAGGGGCAGCTGAGATAAGCCTGAAAGGAGGGATACAATTTCAACAGGTGGAAATGGTAGAAGAGAGATGACACCCACCACAGGTAGCGACCAGGCATTTTTTAAAGGAGAAGGCGTTACAAGGGTATTTTGAGATATAAGGTTTTGTTTTTTTTATTTGGAAAGGACAGGGAGGGAGAACCAGACAGAGCAAATACAAGGACTGCAAAGGCTGTGTTTGCATATGCTGAGTATATGACTGTGTCACCTGGGAGCAAATGTGGAGAGGAAAGAGAATGAGGAGGAACCAGGTGTGTGTGCATGCTGGGGTGGGGAGGGTGGCAAAGGGATGGACACACACGCATAGAATACAGGGACTGAATCCCACTCCTTTGTGGACAACAAGTCAGGGCTTAGACAAGTTCTTTCCACACTGGTGAACCCCCTGCCTACCCTATCCTGACCCTGATGTGCTGGTGTCTCTGTAGCACCAGGTACCCCGTTTGACCCTGAAGATGGGAGGCACAGACATCAGCTGGCTACCAGGATGCAGGAGAAAAGGCTCCCTCCCCCAGGGTTGGGGCTCAAAGACCCTGGTGTAGCAAGAAGAGTGGCTCACCCCCCAAACACCAGGTAGAGGCACATGGGCTCAGACAGCTGCCTAGCGAGTGCAATTGGGGAAGAATGGGGAGGCTGTTGGCACCCACACTGAAAAGTCGGTTAGATGTCACTCCGCCCAGAGGCCCAGCTCACCCACAGCCTCAGGCAGCCGGTGGGCACACCCCACCAGGCAGCTGTTTAGGGGAGAGCTGCTCAAACAGCCCTGGAAGGTGAGCAAACACTCAGGGGGTTAATAGGTAACTACAAGGTAGAAAGAGGAACTGAGCCTGGCATCCCTCTCTCTTTGGCCTTGCTAGGATTTATGAGTGCACCCTCCAGGCTACTAATCTGTTGCTCTCCTGGCTTCTTCAGCCACCCTGACTCCCCAGCACCTGAAGCACCCACCACCTCATTCCAAGCCAGGTGTAAAGATCCTTAAAAATCCCAAGATCCTTGAACGCTAATGGGAAAGCCAAGTTAGCAGTCACCAAGTAAGAAGGATCCGGGTGAAAACTCTGGTTTCCACCCCTGTGCCCCATCTCTCCCGCCCCTTCTGCATCCTCTCTTCACCCTGACTTACCTTGGTCGCAGAACAGACCTCCCCAGCCCTCATCACAAGAACATTGCCAGGGGGTGCTGCAGGTGCCATGACGACAGCCATTGTGGGGGATGCATTCATTGCACAGGCGGCCCTGCCAGCCTGGGCGGCAGCTGAGGGACAAGAGAGATGCTGAGGGTGAGGTGAGAGGCCTGGCCAAGGGGGGACTCCCCCTCACCACTTCCTGTCCCCTACTCACAGGCACTCTCCTGGCTTATTGCAGTAGCCATTCTGCTCATGACAGCCAGAAAGACAGATAGCTAAGGAAAGAAAAAAGGCTGGGTGAGGTTGGGATGGCAAGGGCTCTGAACTCTCCCCTCCTACCCCTCAGGGTGCCCCATCTCTGCTGGGCTCCAGCTCCACTTCTGGCCTCCCAGAGGAGCCCTGGGTATCTTAAAGGGCAATGATGGCATAGGGAAGAAGTCAAGCTGGACAGAACACAATCATGGGGGTCCTTGTGGGCTTTGGCATAAACGGGAGGAGCACTGGGAAGAGAGAGGAGATCTGAGTCCAAACCCGCCCTCAGCATCCACAGGTGTCCCTGAGGCCCAGCTAGTGGGCAGCCTGGTCCCACTCTGAGGGAGGCAAGCTGTGGCTGAGAAGACTGCACTGTGTTTGTTCAGGGGACCCTCCCTTCCACACAGGTGGGAGCTTGGCTGCTTACGCTGTTGGCAGTACACCCCAGTCCAACCGGGCAGGCAGGACAGGTTGCCATCTGGCTGGCACACATAGTGTCCGAAGCGGTCGTTGCGCTTCTTGCACAGGCGTGAGCAGTTGTCTCCATAGTAGTTGTCACTGCAGATGACTCGGTAAGAGTAGCGTAACCTTGTGAGGGTGCTGGTTTGCTCATCCAGTAACCAGTTCTGACCCACGGCTAGGGAGCCATGGATGGCGATCTTGCTGATAAGTGCGTCTGGTGGCAAGGCCTCTGAAGGGGCAGAGGGTCAGGTCAGGGAAGGGCTGCCAGTCCCCAAGGGTGCCAGCAACTGCTGGCCACTGTCCCTCTCGGCTGTGATGATGGTGATCAGCCAACAAATCAAACCAGTTGTCCAGATGACCCCCACCGGCCAGCAAGCACAGGCCAGGAGGGCTCAAAGTCCCACTGCATAGCTGCTCTGTGTGTGCATGTGCAGGGGGCCTGATATCATTCAAAAAGGGGACAATAGAAGGATGTTAAGATATCCCAGGGTCCTGGAGGCAGATAGGGAGGGGAAAGAGGAAAAGAGGTCAAAATGGAAAAAAAGAAAAAAAAAAAAAGAAAAAAAGAAAAGCTCTCCAGGCCGGGGAGGACCCTGGGAGCAGGGGGTCCTTTGGTGCCCATTCAGGGGTTCTGCCCCCAGAGGTGGGTAATGGTTTTCTTTTTCCTTTTCAAAGTGAGAATTGTTGTGCTGCTGAAATATCCTTTTCCTCTGTGTCAGAACAACATCCCAAAGCCATTATTCCCTTTCCAAAGGAGCGGAATTCGCGAAAGGTGTAAAATACAGGAAGGGGCCCGTCAGCGGCGCTGGCAGCTTCGGCCTTTCTCACCGCCGTGCTCCCCGCGTTCCCACGCCAAAAATAACCCGCAGGAAACGCAATTGTGCTCTGAGTCCAGGCAGCGGGCGGAATCCGAGCGTCCAGCGCGGGGCGCAGCTCCCGGCCAAGCCGAGCGTCCTGCTCCCACCCCCAACCCCGCACTTCCCCCGCCTGGAACAGGTTAACCCTTTCGGCGCTGCGCCGTTGTCGCCCCCCTGTGGCGGCAGAGCGAGCTACTCACCTGGCCGCAGGTCGTCTCCCGGGGCGTGCCAAGCTTCGATGATAAGTGAGAAGGTACCCTGGGAGGGGGGGGGGGAGGAGAGAGAGCGAGATGAGCAGGGGGAGAGGTGGGGTGCCTTGCGGCAGCCGGTTTAATTCATCTAATTGCAGGATACAGTTACTGCGCCCGGGTCAACATAACGGGTCTGCGCGCGGGGCCGCGCTTGAGCCGGGAAGGCGACAGGGGAGCCCCGGCTAGGGGGAGGGATGAGGGATCGGGGAGTATAAGCGAGAGCCATTGAGGTGGAGGGTGTACCGCACCAGGGCGGTAGGTAGAGAAAATCGCGCCCCGGGAGCTGGGAGAAGGCAGGGCATAAAACGGGGCCGACGGAGACTGGCGAGAACCTTCTCCGAGATCGAGTCCCAGGAGGGAGCCGGGAAGAAAGCCGGGAGAGAACGCAGCTTTGGGTTTTTTTGGGGGGGGGGTGGTGAGCAACTCTGGGGAGGGGGCTTTGATCCCAGGGCGCCTGTTCCTCTGGGCTTCTGTGACCTCCCAGTGCGCCCAGGCTGTGCTCACCGGCCAGGTGAAATTGAAGGGCAGTTGGAGAGGGTTGCGGCCCCCGCCGCTGCTGTCATCCCGAACCGCGAAGGAGTTGGTGCCCAATACCGGCGTGGAGACGCTGCCGAAGGTGCAAGGTCCGGGCGAGACCACGGTCTGGAAGTGCTTCAGGCAGACGCGGAAGAAAGTCCGGCAGCCGGGCTCGCACGGCCGCCCACTGGCCAGTACGCCGCGCTCGTTGACGAACTCCTGCAGCTGCAGCTGGAAGACGCCGGAGCCGGCCGCGCGCTATTGCACAGGGACCGAGGGAAGGAGGGAGGGGATCGGTCAGCTCAGCTGGCGCCCGGGGCTCGGGCCCAGGGCGCGGCGGGAGGGAGCGGAGAGGGCGCGGGACGGGTTACCTGCTGCCAAAGTGCCACCAGCAGCAGTAGCGCCCAGCCAGAGGCGCTCCGGGACGCTGCCGCCATCCCTCGGGGCGTCGCTCTCTCCGCTCGCGGGCCCGGAATCTGGCTCTGTTCGCGATGCCGCTTTGCCCGCCCGCGGGGTCCCAGAAAAGCCGAGCTCCTCCCGGGACGCTGTCGCCTCTCGCCTTCTCGCTGGCTCCGCTGCAGCTGCCGCGGTAGGTAATCCAGGTGAGGGCGGCTGGGCGGCGGCAGCGCTGAGGACGCGTCCTCTGGCTAATCCTAGGTCTGCAAGCGGGCTAGTGCCAGGGTACACCGCGCCGAGGCGACT